GATTTAAAAAATATGCCGTAGCATGCAAATTTTTCCTCAACATCCTATCCCATCGGTCATTGATGATATCAATGTAAGGCTTATATAGTCTTTCACTACTCCTGAACAACTTCTTGATTCCAGTAATTGCTCTAAACATACCTTCATACACATACCCCAAAGAAGGCCTTTCATCAGTGTCACAAACTCTCAACAACCGAATAATAGGACCCATTATTCTCACCGTAATCAAACAATTATTCCAAAATCTATCATCCAAAACAATTTGTTTGACCTCTTTTCCTTTGTTCATTTTCAAGAACTTTTTGTAATCTCCGCTAGTGACTAAAGCTTGTAAGCTGTCTTTGTGATCATGTAAGCTCTTTAGTGCAATAAAAGTGGTGGCAAATCGAGTCTCCCCTGGACGAATAATCTCCCTCCACCCATTAGTTTTTCTCAGCCAATTTAGAACATATTTATGATTATACACAAAAACAGTTACTGTAGCAGCAAGAGCCACTAGAGATTTAACAGTACCCATTTCACCAATATCCTTCAAAATCAAATTGATACAATGGGCAGCACATGGAGACCAGCAAATAGTTGGATATCTTTCATTTAATAAAGTTCCAGCAGCCTTATAATTGCTAGCATTATCAGTGACTAAATGCACCACATTTTTTGAACCAACCATTTCAACAATTTCAACAAACAGATTGCACAAATTTTCTGCATTTGTCACAATGTCCGATGCATCTATAGACTTGATAAAAGATATACCCTTAGGACAATAAACCAGAAAATTAATCAATGGTCTTTGTCTACTATCTTTCCATCCATCACCCATTATAGTGCATCCAGTTTCAGCCCAAGTATTTCGAAATGAATCAACAACTAACTGCACATCTTTCTTAGCATCTCGCAACAAAGTGACTCGCAAAGAATGATAAGATGGAGCTTTATAACCATGACCCATTGATGCAATTTGATCGATAGCTTTTTGAAAAAATGGAGAATTAACAGCATTAATGGGAATACATGCATCATAGAACCAAAGAGCAATGGCCATATCAGTATTTTGCCATTTATCCTTACTTTGCAAACAAGCTTTGATAGTAGGTTGAGCACTATCACGTCCACCCTTAAAGAAAGCACGAATACCTGTAGGGGCAGTGGTTTTTCTCTTTCCTTTACCTAATGATGTACCAGCCTCATTCATTGAAATTTCCCTCATTCGAGGAGGTGGAACCTCTTGCACTTCATCACCGACAAATTCGTGCACTGGTTGACCAAAAGGACTTTCGACTCCAAAATCTCCTCTTTTTTCTTTAGATTTTTTATCATTCTCTTGCAAACATGTTAATATTGCAAGCCTCACTGCTGGATCAACATTTGGACATGAAGTAACACTGCCCGTTACTCCTGCCAAGTGTTGCTTCATTCGGTGGATGCCACCCCCATGAAACACTTTAAAACAATAAGTGCATGTCATGGTTTTTCTTCCTTGTTCATTTCTGCCCTCAGAAACATATCCCCATGCTATATCTGTCTTTTGCCTATGACCTTGGGGCTGACTTGCAGATCCCTCACTATTGAATGGTCCCCCCGGTGAACATTGTGAGTTACTACCGCTACCAGCCTCCATCCTAAATTGAGATATTTAAAAATAACTAGTCTTAACAAATAATTAATATACACAAACTGAAACAAATTATTAAAGCTAACAACCGTTTAGCACGAGTGAAGTTAATTCCCTAAGCCTTGTGCATTTCTTGAGGGTGTTAAGTATCTTCATGGTAACTGGGTTTTGCACAGAGATTTAAAGACATCAAATATACTTTTAAATAATAGCACAGAGATTTAAAGACATCAAATATACTTTTAAATAATAGCACAGAGATTTAAAGACATCAAATATACTTTTAAATAATAGCACAGAGATTTAAAGACATCAAATAACTTTTAAATAATAGCACAGAGATTTAAAGACATCAAATAACTTTTAAATAATAGCACAGAGATTTAAAGACATCAAATAACTTTCAAAGACATCAAATAACTTTCATCTGTCATGTTACTGTAGATTTTTGTATGGATTTCAAGCTAATTTTCTTCTCTGTGGCCTTAAAGATCATTGTCGTTTTGTTTTGCAGATATTCAAAATTTTTCGTACGCCTAATGACACAATCTGGTCTGGGTTTTCGAAGCTTCCAGGGGTCAGGGTTAACTTTGTCAAGCATCAGTATGTATTAGACTATTATTAGAATCATGTTTCAGTTCCCAAATAAATGAAGCTTAAGACTATTAGACTATTATTAGAATCATGTTTCGCATGCAAATTTCATTACCGAATATCAGTACCTGGAACAAGAAAAATCGAACTATCAATTGAACTCTTTTTTCCAAAAGAGATATCAAATGACAAACTGTGTTAGGACACTTGAAGTCTCACTTTTCCATAAAATAAGCAAAGGGTCCTAGTAGAAGCAATGCAATGATATTCCTATAAACTGGGTATACAATTTTGCTGACACCAATATTAAGTGCAACTCTAGAGACAATGTGAAATCCTGCAAAGCACAACTGCAAAATGAGCAGTGCAATAAGCAGCTTCATTTTCTCAGATGAAGGGCTTCCTTGTCCCATATCTTCTTTTCTCTTTTGTTTCTGTATAGGGTGTTAGATCATAATGTACTGCGAGGACAAACGGACTAGTGCTAGATATATACATGCATGGAGGGACAGCATTAAAGAAAATGTGTACTTATTTTATGCATGATGGAGGCTAAACGTACAGCCTCACTATCATATGCTGATTAATCATTTAGAGTTATTATAAGATGTAAATGGCATCCAAATAATGCACAATGTGCATTGATTGTGGGGATACATATTAAAATGTATGTTTCTATTATGGCTTGCACATAATCTTTTGATTATGGAGATTTTGCTTTATCTAAATCTCATTGGATTATTGACTGAAAACTGAACTTTGTTAAGGAGACAATGAAGAGGTGGAACGTGTTGGCAAGTTAGTTGAAGACTTGAATGGGGAGCCTGACCTTTTAATACATTGACCATAACTCCATTTTTATTTTCTTTCATTTATTGTGAGCTTGACAAAATTAATCGAAACTGAAACAGTTTAGGTCTTCGAGCTTAGTAAGTAAAAATGCAAAATAGTATACTTTGTACCGCATAAATGAGTTGATTTTATAGACCAATTCGTATTGAAAAAAGAAGATAGAAGCGCAGCAGGTGTATGAAGTAAAATACCTGAGACAGGGTTGCGAGAAAAGCTGATGAAGATGGTGTGAAGTGTGAACGAGTTTGGACTTCCACTATTAGTAGATAAGCTTGAATTCCACAATTTTTTTTGGCTTGGAATCGGAGCAGCAGGCGGAAAAACTTCAGGCTTCAAGATTGGAGTTGCACCAGCTCAGCCGCACCAGCCGCACCACCTCAATCACCCTGCTCAGCCGCACCACCTCAATCACCCCGCTCAGCCGCACCACCTCAATCACCCTTCAGCCCACAGTCGACAACGAGCACCGCCAACCAGTGGTCATCTACGCCGTTTCCCCAAAACTGATCCACACCAAAACTGATCTACGCCGTTTCCCCAAGACCGAAGCGGTGAAGTGAAGTGCGAACTGCGAACTGCGAAGAGGAAGACTGGAGCAGGAGCGAAGCGAAGTTGCCGAAGTGAAGAAATGAAGAATGAAGATTAGGGATCGGTCAAAATTGAAGTTTTTGTCAATTTTGACTCAAAATTGGAAAACCGCGGTTCACGGTCCGACCCGATTTTAAAGATTTGAACGGTTTTTTACGGTTTTGACCGGTTTCTTATAAAAGTCAACATAACCTATAGACCGGACCGGACACATGGCCGGGTCGCGGTCGAACCGGTCGACCCGGCCGGTCCGGTCCGGGTTTGAAAACATTGATTTTGGGTCTTTGAAGAAAATTTGACATGCAATTTTCATATTCTTAAGTTTGAACTAATGTTTAACAGTACAAATGCACCATATGCTTGTGACTTGTGACTTCTGAGTTTGAATTTTCTTTCGGAATTTTGAGGAACTAATATTTGGAAGCTTTATTAATTAACTTTTTCTACCATGGCACGGTATTCTTCAACTCTGAAAATATTCAAATATAAAATGTTACCTCATGAAATGTTTTACCAAGAGCTGATTAAGATGTAATTAGTTTATGCTCATACTGGCTTCTGTAGGTGAGTGTGATGGGATCATTAAAGATCTAACCACGTGATTTGAAGGTTATGAGTTTTATCTATAGAAAATTTGGCAATTGTTAGGCCTTTTAAAACTAATGATTAGTCTAACTCGTTGGATAATCAAAAGATTTTGCTTTGTCTTTGTTTTATGGGATAATAACTGAAACCTCCCATAAGGTTTCTCTTAATATCATTTAGCACCTCTAAAGTTTTGCAAAGAAATTTGAAAAACAGAAAAGATATTTGCAAAGAAATATATTAGCATAAGTTAACTCTATATGCTCAAAACTAATTTCTTATGAACCTTATATTTTCTTCCAACTTATTCTCAATTCGTACCCAAACCTTTAAATTGTATTGATCATTATAAAAATCAATTCAAAATAATCAAAGAAATCATATCCTACTCTATCACAATCACAAAATGTAAAAGACAAATAAAATTCAATTTACTACAACTTATAAATAAAAAATTGTATAGTCATCCAAAAAAAAAAGAATAAGAGAGAATGTTGGAGAAAGAAGAAATAGAAGAAAGTGAATTTTGTTCCATTTTTTTTAATTTTTTGAACTCCATTTATTTGATATGTGAATTATGTATTGCCTTTTTGCAATTATTAGGGGAGATAGGTGATATTTTTAAAATCTCAAGGGTGCCAAGTGATATTTGGAGAAACCTCAAGGGAGATTTCTGATATTATCCCTTGTTGTATTTGTTATACAATAAAATATCTGCCCCAAAAAGCTATACGTAGCATTTGAAGCTATGCTATGATGGAATAGTCCCTTGGCCACTCTCTCTGCACTCTTAATATTGGCCCTCTAATATCATAGAGTAATGAAATCATCAAACCATTCACATTTTGCATAATAGTCCCCAAGAATCAGGAAAAAATCAGGTATTTGATCCATATCCAAAATTTATTAATTAGTTTATCCAATGTGTTTGTCTAAATAAATTTAGATAAGATTAAAGTGACAGAACCACTCAAATAATAAAGAGATCAACTAAAAAACATCATCATTTCTAACAGATTACACATTTTATAATTTTGCTAGCCAAATACATTAACCAAATTCTTCAAGAAAGGAAGTTAAATAAACAGCAAACAATGATAGCAAGAGGCCCAATATTTTGGTGAGTAAAAATAGCATACCATATAGATGTAACTAATTAAATATTATAAAAAAACCCTACAATTTTAAAACTTATGCTAAACTCAAATATGCGGGTACAAGATCGGATATCTATGGGTATTCAAAAATAAAGCACGTATCCGTAGAGCTTTGCATGGACTTTAGCTTCACAAGTTTCATAGAGCGTGCCAACGCCATATCGAAAGTAATCTTCTGGAAAATTTTTTTAAGATAATTTTCACCTCAAACTCCTGTACACATTACCAAATACAAAGTAGAATCTATCAACTAACACATTATTTTACCAAAATCAACAGGAAATATTCACAAATAGAATACACAATTAGATCTCTATCATGTGTAAAATAAGCTATCTTTAGATTTTGTTCCAAATGTCTAGCATCCAAATGGGTACCACGGATAAAAAGCTTCAGGATCACTTCATAATTTGATGTGTCTATACGTAAATGATAAATATCATAATTTAATTATAGGATCACTTTTTAATTTGATGTGTCTATAATGTGAAGAAACTTTGTTTAACTTAGACGGTTCAAATTGCAGAAATAGACACTCTACGTAAACTGTTGCATATGCATGAGTCACATGACTAATGTCTTTGTGATCACCATTCCTTTTTCCAGAAGCCAACAGTTAATTAAGCATAAATTAGAGAGGCTGGAATAAGTTTCTACAACCACAAGAAACTACCATATTAATTATGTTAAACAAGCTAGCTTAAAGAGTGCGGTTTATTTTAGGGATAATTTCAGAAACCTCCCCTGAGGTTTCTAACAATTTCACTGAGCTTCTCTGATGTTTGAAAAATTACAGATACCTTCCTTGTCATTTAAAATGACAATTTTACCCTTACATCCTTATTCTATATGAGAATGAGTTGTGATCAAAAGTTTTGTTTGAATTTCAACCGCAAGGCCAGGGAGAGTTTGGGAATATGAAAATATTTGAAGTATCATTAGAGCATTGGGTACAAGTCATGACAGTTTTAAATTTGTTGTAATCACTGCGATAACCTGTTAGATATTTAAGGTTGAGAGAAGTTTAGAAATATGAGAATGTTTAGACTATGATTGGAGCATTGGGTACAAGTCATT